CTGGTTCTGGTGCTGGTTCTGGTGCGGGTGCGGGTGCGGGTGCGGGTGGCGGTGGCAGTGGCGGTGGCGGTGGCGGTGGCGGTGGCGGTGCTGGTGCTGGTGCTGGTGCTGGTGCTGATGCTGCTGCTGCTGCTGGTGCTGGTGCTGGTGCTGTGCTCCTGCTGCTGCTCCTGCTGCTGCTGCTGCCGCTGCCGCTGCCGCTGCTACTGCTGCTGCTATTTTCTTTGTGTGCGTGGGGTCACGGGGGGGAACAAAATTCCAACCTTCCATTGATTATCTACTCTATCCATGTCTCTCCGAGTCTATCCAAAAATCACCGAACTCTAGCCAACCTGCCACAAGAAACCCGCAGTTGCTCTCCCACATGTCGCTGGTTGGCAAAAGGCTTATGTTGCGCAGGGCCCGCACATCGTTCAGTTCGATGGCTTCATTCAAGCACTCTGCCATCGAGGCTGTGACCTTAGGAAGGAGAGTATTTCTGGTCGCGGCTTTGGACAGATATCAAAATGGAGAAACTGAGATAAATTGGCCAACCTGAGCTGAGTCGCAGCAACGTCATACCCATCACTCCATGACTCGTAGCTCTGGCCGTATTCGCAGGGCTTTACATGGGTGGCCCACAAACGCATTCGCTTCACCGGATCCGGCTTGCCGAAGCAACTGAAGCCAAAGTCAACGACACTGCGGTGCACCTCGAAACGCGGGTCCGCGGTAGAGCCGTTCACCTCCTCAAGCGTTTGTATGCGGCATGCTTTGTACTCACTACGCTTGTTATTCACATTGAAGTCCGGAAGGAGGAATCCGTTACTCGCAATCAGCTGGATGGGTACTGGATGTGGCTCGATCCGTAAGGGCAGAGCACGTCTCTGTGAATCTGTTGCATCTGGGGTTGTGGCGACGACCAGTTGAATGTTTTGCATCATCAAGGAAGCCGCTGGAAGAGTGAGCTGAAAGACCGTGGAGATCTGAAACTGACTTGCCTCTTGAGCTGACATGGGTTTGTGCACTAGCTGCTCATCCACGTCCAAACTCTCCGCGAAAGTCAAGAACGTAAACTTGCCGCTGGTGCTGACGTCACGAAGCCACGTTACCAGCTGCATGCCCCCAGCGATGCTACCGGGACTCACATCCAGGTTTAATTCTGCTTTATCACCTCCTCAGCTGGTGCTCTGACATCTACAGCTGTCTGCGTATGTTGCTGCATTTCCCCTCCCTCTCTCTCTCTCCAACTCCCCCGTTCTCTCACTCTGTTTCTTTGGCTCTCTCTCTCTCTCTCTCTCCCTTCTTCTACCGTCACCCCAGGCGAAGTGCCGGAGCCTCTGCCCTGTAACGCTTTTCAAGCAGGTTGTTCTCTAAGGATCAAGCTCCACGGCTGCTCCACCGTCCAGAGCTCAGCTCCCTGCTAGGCCTCCTCCCAACCCCCTCCTCTCTCCCCTTCGTCCCACTCCGACTCACTCAGTTGAAGTCAGCAGCCTTCCAAGCTTTCAATCTCGCCCGAAGCAAAGCCCTCCCAATGCGCGGCAGCTGCAAGCCCGCGTTTCCAAGGCTGTCTCTGACACGGAACTCTGACATGGAACTCTTCAGCGCTGCACCTTTGCGCTCAATCTCTATGTTCCCGTCTTTATGTCGCTCAATCTATCTCTCTCTCTCGCTCTATCTTCGCGCTGTCTCTGGTGCCATTTGAACCAAAAGCTTCATGATATCATGAGAGAAAGCCACCCAGGCCTGTGTCTCCCTCATCCGTTAAGAAGATGCACTCCGGAGAGCCGTTCCGGGAGATCCCCCACTCTTGAAGGCAGCCGTTGCCGAAGCCCGGTGTGTCTTTGCCACAGCGGCAGGTGTTGGCTACCTGTAGCACCAACCTAAAGTCCTTAGCAGTAGCTAGGCCCCGAGTATATTGTTTTGCAGGCTTCCTGCCATTCATAACATTCTCTGGCTTCCCATTTTCAATATTCGCAAGCTTGCCCGTGTCACACCCCAGCAGATATATCCAAAGCTCCAACCCTGTACCTGTCTGCTCGACAAGTCCAGATTGAACCCCCAACTGGTGTTCTCAAAATTAACTAGGGATCTTTTTGTGGTGGTTCTAAAAGCTCCCGAGAAACAATTATCCCACTTTCAGTGCCCCCTCCGCCTGGTCAAGTGAGTCTTGGCCTCTGTCGGCACCAACAGTGGGGCAAAGCAAATGGGTCGGAGGATCACCTCAAGCCGTACTGTGGGTAGGGGAATATTGGGATCTTTTCAGCCCTGGATTTCAGTGTTTACATGGGCATGGATGTTCTGGCAGCTGGTCAAAGTCTCCAAATGCAACCTTGTGAAAGATAGTTTCCCCTGCGACTGCACTTGATTATGCAGGCTTAGATGATTCCCCCTTCCAAAGCCTGAAGTCAACGACACTCATTCTGGTTGGAGACTGAAGAGCAGTTGCATGATGTTGACCCCGCAACCAAACGGGCCTGTCAAGAGATTTGCCTGACATGCAGGAAGCCTGTCACAGTCAGCACGTACTGAATCACAAGAGACAAGTGTTCCGCGTGTTGGGGGAAATGAGCGTGAACCGTAACCTTAAGCCCCAAGCCCTTGCTGCCATTTATCACCGTGAGACTGGAGGGGAATGGTGACTAGAGTCCACGTCTCTGCAGCGTTCAGGGGCTTGGGGCGCAATGCTCCAGGTTTGAGCCCAGGTCTAGAGTCTAGAGGCTCAGGATCTTTAAGGGCTAGGGGGATTGAGTCGACGTCGCCTTATGTTAGCTTTGAAGATCGCCCCGCCTGCAGGGAGCAGTTACCATCCAACCTGGGCACGTGCCAATCTTCGTGCTGCTCCTGCTCTTCTGCCGGGGTTAAACAGTTTGAAAGTGATTTCTGAAACTTGCACTTGTACCTGCGTTTTCGGAACCTCCATACAAAATTCTGGACCCTGCAGCTCCTGATAGCGCCAGCGCCGCTGTTCCTGGAAGGGCACGCGCTTCTCGCCTTCTTCGTCAGGCCGCACGACCCCAGACAGGGAAAGCTTCACCGCGTCACCCACTCGAACAATGTGGAAGACGTACCTTGGGGTTGATAAACTGCAATAATTCGTAGATGACCTCAGCAAACTGAAAAGGTTCAGTTTCTTCTGGTAAGGATTCTAAATTCCAGCCAGTCGCATTGTGGGCTCGATGCGCAGGCTGCTGACCGCTTGAAGGGTGAGGCGACTGTACAGAGGGCCGGCCGGCATGGACACCTGAGTAGTTAAACGGTATTAGGGGAGACCTCAGCCAGATCCTAGTCCTCGTACAGGATACAAGGACCATCAGGAAACTCAATTTGGCACCCTGAGCAGGTCGCTCTGCAATACTTGTTCAAGTTACTCCCGGCCTCGTACTCACCGGAGCTCCGGGAGTCTCCGTCACTTGCGAGACGCGAGTAAATGGACACTTCCCTCGCCCCCTGCGCAAGGCACTATCACTTGGGTAGAATGCGGTAGATCGGGGTAGAATTGGTATAATAGGAGAATATAATGGATAAGTATATTGGGTATACAAAGCTCCAATTACTCTAAGTTGGGCCGTTTGGAGTTGAATCATTGGGACTCTGTTGGTAGGAGAGAAAGGCGTCAACAGTTCACTTTTTCCACATTCGGAAAGTTTGGGCGCAGTTGGGCTCTGTAGGGCCTTTGCGCTCGCCCCCTTTCTCCCACTATGCAGCCAGCTGGTTTCACAGGTTCGCAGATTGCAGCCTCGCAACACTCCCCCGCCCCCATCCCCATACGCATCCACGCATCCCTCCTACTTCGCCTACCGCCTTCCGTCAGAACAAGTACCTTGGGTCGATTTAACCTCATACTTATTGGGTTTATACCTATAATGATTGGTGAGTTCCCAATAAGAATGAGGTTTAATAGCCCAACCTGAAGCCATGGGATGAAGCCTTGGATCGTTTTGGTATCCTTTCCCTAATACCCAATAATTACGTAATTGGGGGATTCTTTGAATGGTAATTAATAGCAACCGTAATGTAACCGCAATGCAGGTTGAGGGGAGTATATGATTCGTGAAGCCTCTGCACCCTCAAGCTCCGGATGCTCCACCTTCAGCTTCACTGCCTCAGAGTTGTGATCTCTCTCCGTCCAGGTTTAGGGTAGAGGGCTCTTGGAGTTGAAAAAGGATTGTCTGTTTGGGAAGCAGGCCGTAGGTTAGGGGTTCAAAAGCGTTGTGGGCTTTAGCCATCCGCGTCAGCACACATGGAACCCTGTTTGAGGTTTGGACAACGACACTCGCTCTGTGGGCCCCTCTTGGGCGTTCGCTGTTTGTTTGGGGATCCCTTTCCCATATCCATGTATGAGCCCTCTTCAGTGCCTAAATGGAAGTTTCTTTAATTAGGGGCCCCAATATAGCACCCAATCCCCCTCATAAGGACCTCCAAAGAGGGACCCTTCCTTTTTGGAAACTCCCAAATAGCTCCTATGCAAGTTCTTTTATCTTAAAATGGGCATTTGGGTGTCACAGGGGCGCCTCTGTGTGGTCGCTCACTTCGAAGGTGAAGGTCAGGGAGTCTGCCTGCTCCACCAGGCACGAGAACAACAGAATTAAAATAAAGATCGTTCTAGACGTAGGAATAATCCCCTCCCCCGAATAATAAACAGGCCCTAATCTATTTATAGAATCATCTCTTATCAGGTGTTGGGGGTGTTCATTCTGAGGGGGAGGGGATTAATCCCACTTGCTCCACAGTCTATAAGGACTCCAACACTTTGGCTCATAACCGACGCAATTTTCCAAATACATTGACTTTGGGGTGGTCTAGGCTTCAATTCATACCGGGCTGAAGCAGGAAACCCATAGCAAAAGCCCGGTGGCCCACAACCCCAAGGTCTGCGCATGTGTGTCTCTAAGATGCATGCCTCCCCATTTTCTAGTCCTGATAATCAACATAAGAGTATTCTGGTGGCATTTTCCCTTCAGCTTGATATTCGGGGTCGTGGAGTGGATCCTACTACTTTTCAGAAGAAAACCGGACTTGGGATCCGGCCTGGTCATGCAGCACTAGGGTATTCTGCACGGTAGCCTCCCCAGCCGCATAGACGAGGTGACCTTCAAGGGGCAAGCCCTTATTACCCGACGAGCTAAACTCTGATGGGTGTACAAAGTATGGTGCCTTTATGCTCCCAAGTACTAAAGGTCTTAGAATTTGAGTCCCCCCAAAGAAGAGGACCATGGTGAAAAGACCAAGGGCCTACCCACCCCAAACCTGCCTTGGCTGAAGGAATAGTCGATCATGCGGCCCCGCATCTGCCAGCCATCGGCCACCATCAGACCCAGAACAGCCAGGCCTAACAAGAAGTGCAACCACCATAAAATCACCATCACAACAAGACTAAGAATAAGCAGGGGCCACAAAACCAGAGCTAGCTATAATGACTTCAACGTTCATAGCCAGGCTACGACTGAATGATCTCATGTCGCAGGGACTCTACAAGTAGAGCTACCAGCAAGCAACAGATCGCAGGAGTGTACTCCATGTCACCCGAACATGCGCCATTCTACATTGCAAAGATCCTAACAAAGGAGCTCATCAAATCCAAACTCCGGCGCTCGAGAACAAGTTGACCCCTCACCGCCTGCTGTAGCCGTCACCCAAGTGAACAGGCCCACGGCCAGACGGTGCTGCTCCTGCGCGCTTGGGGCGTAAGGTCTGCAGAGGTAACGCTAGAGTAGTCACTCGAGGTAATCCAAATCACATATTAGGCTCTTGGGCTGTAGGGAATATGACGTATGAAGTTTGGGCTTTTTAATGGTCAAAGCTGCCAGTTGCACAGGCTGCATGTGCTTCATGGCCGCCTTTTGTCTGGCAATTTTGCTTTGTAGCAGCTATCTGCCACATCTTGGGGGCATCTCAAACAAAAAGCTCGGAATAATCAAAAACCCGACATCCCCCCTTGTGCTGCAGAGCCGGTCCCGCTTGGCTGTCAGCGTGCCAAGCTCCTGTGTCACCTCGGTCCAACAAGTAAGATTTGAAGTGAGATTAACAAAGACGTGCAGGGTTTGCGCTGAAGGGTGAAGTCTAATTGAAACAAATGCCTACAGAACACCACTGAGCGGCACTGGGCAGAGTCTCTGCT